CAGCTGAAACATTCTTTGGTGGACCTGTATCAATATTGATTGAATTAAACCCTAAGGTCAAAATTTTGCCCTGCCCAAGGGGATAGTGACCTACTTTCTTGTCCTTTGATATACAGCCATGAAATTTGGACCATTTGCAAAGTTTTAGTTGTAAAATTTGACTTTGATATCAGTTGACCTAGATTTTGATGATTTGACCTACTTTCTTGTCCTTTGATGTACAACTATAAAATTTGAACCTTGTGCACAGATTAGGATGTAAATTGGACTTTGATATCAGCTGACCTAGATTTTGACAAAGTGTCATACTGCATTGATAGATCCCTACTCGAATAACAATGGATTTAACCACAAACATTGACATGTGCTCTTTTGTTAACAAATAGGTTGTGGTGAAATTGTTATTATATCCACTAATCTGATAATATGAATTAGATAGGTCAGTGATCTATGCATTATGGCAATGTTCAATGTATAGAAACAAAATAAATTTTCTGTTCCAACATGCTCATGGTGAGCTATTGTGATCCCCCATCGTCCGTCGTCGTGCGTCGTCAACAATTTCTTTAAACAACATCTCCTCAAAAACCGCACAGTAACCAAACTTTACAGGAATGATCCTTGGGTGGTCCCCTGCCATAATTGTTCAAATGGTTCCGGTCTGTTGCATAAGTAGGTCACGGGACTAGAAAAGGAGTTTAAAAAATGCTTTAAAACTTAAAAAACTTCTTGTCTGAAAGAACAAGGCCTAGAGCTTTGATATTTGGTATATGATATCACCTATATGTTCTCTACCAAAGTTGTTCAAATTATAGCCCTGGGGTCAAAATTGGCCCCGTCCCAGGGGTCATAGGTTTTCCTTATATGTATATATTAAAAACGTAAAAATCCTTCTCCTCTGACTTGACAAAGGCTAGAGGTTAGATATTTGGCATGAAGCTTTGTGTAGTGGAACTCTACCAAGATTGTTCAAATTATAGCCCTAGGGTCAAAATTGGCCCCGCTCCGGTGTCAAAGGTTTTCCTTTTATATATATAGTACAAGCTGTTCCTATCCACACACTTTAACCTTGATCATAACTTTAAAGTTCTTGGTGTAGTGTCTTAAAACATCAACTTCTTACCTAAACAAAAAAATAACCTTGTTTTGTATATTTTTAAGGCCTGGTAACTTCACTTTGGTATATCAATTGTATTAAGTACTCAGGTGAGCACATTGGGACCAATGCCCCCCTGTTCACAAATGCAATCTTGTTAGCTCGACTTATTTTTTTAAAAAGTAGAGGTATTGTTATAGTCCTGGAGGCGTTGCCGTTGTCGGCGCCGTCCACAAACTTGTACCTGGATCATAACTTTTTAGCTCACCTGTCACAAAGTGACATGGTGAGCTTTTGTGATCGCTTTTCATCCGGCGTCCGTCCGCAAACTTTTACTTTAAACGACATCTCCTCATAAACCGCTAAGCCAATTTCATCCAATCTTCACAGGAATGTTCCTTTGGTAGTCAACTTTAAAAAGTGTTCAAAGAATTTAATTCTAAGTAGAACTCTGGTTGTCATGGCAACCGAAAAAAAACAACTTAAAATATCGTCTTATAGAAAACCGAAAGAGCTAGAGCTTAAATATTTGGCATGAAACATCATCTAGTCAGTGTCTACCAAGTTTGTTCAAATAAATGCCCTGGGGTCAAAATTGGCCCCACCCCGGGGTCATTGATTTTCCTTATTTGTATATAGTAAAAACTTAAAATCTTCTTTTAAAAAGCCCAAATAGCTAGAGCTTAGATATTAAGCATGAAACATCTTCTAGTGGGTGTCTACCAAGTTTGTTCAAATAAAAGCCCTGGGGTCAAAATTGGCCCCGCCCCAGGGGGTCATTGTTTTTCTTTTATGTATAGACTTAAAAAGTCTTCTTTTAAAAAACCTTAAGAGCTAGAGCTAGGCTATTTAGCATGAAACATCTTCTATTGGGTGTCTACCATTTTTTTGTTTAAATAAGGGCCCTTTGGTTAAAATTGGCCGCACCCCGGGGATCATTGATTTTCTTTATATGTATATAGTAAAAACTTAAAAAAATTTTTTTAAAGCCCAAATAGCTAGAGCTTAGATATAAAACATGAAACATCTTCTAGTGGGTGTCTACCAAGTTTGTTCAAATAAATGCCCTGGGGTCAAAATTGGCCTCGCCCAGGCCCCGTGTTCACAAAGATTGAAGGATGAGGATCAAGATCAGGATCAAATTTAAAAACTCAAATATTCTCCATTATTTATCCTCATTGATAAAATATCCATTATTAACTTGGTAAAACTGGACATGAAATAGCATGTTTATGAAATTTTATAATAAATTATTGTTATTTTTATAAGATATTGGCTTTTTACAGTTGATCCAAATTTTGATCTTGATCCTAAAATTGATCCTCATTTTGATCTTATTATTTTTGTATTTGTTTTATTATTTGTTGATTTTATCCCAAAAAAGTTTGGTTTCTTAGCAAATAAGTTATTATTTTCATTTCGAATATGTACCATTAATTCTAGCATAATACGATCACATTTAGTTTTATAAACCAATGTAAATAAAATCAGGATCACTTGATCCTGATCCTGATCTTTTCTTTGTGAACACGGGGCATGGGGATCATTGATTTTCCTTATATGTATATAGTAAAAACTTAAAAAGTCTTCTTTTAAAAAAAACTAAGAGCTAGAGCTAAGATATTTAGCATAAAACATCTTCTAATGGGTGTCTACCATTTTCATTGATCTTCCTTATATGTATATAGTAAAAACTTAAAAAATAATCTTTTAAAAAGCCCAAATAGCTAGAGCTTAGATATTAAGCATGAACCATCTCCTAGTGAGTGTCTACCAAGTTTGTTCAAATAAAAGCCCTGGGGACAAAATTGGGCCCACGCAGAGGGGGGGGGGGGGTCATTGTTTTTCCCTATATGTGTATTGTAAAAACTTTAAAAAAAATCTTCTTACAGCTAGAGCTTAGATATTTATCATGAAACATCTTCAAATGGGTGTCTACCAAGTTTGTTCAAATAAAATCCCCTTGGTTAAAATTTGGCCTCATTATCTTATTACGTCACTATGCTGTTTTATGAAGTACTATGAAAAATAGAAGTCGACTATGAACGAAATTCGATATAGTATCGGTTTTTGTTCTTCTGTGAAAATTAACGCACATAATTTTGAAGAAATACAGCGTTTTCATTGGATGACAAATAAAGCTGGACACTTAGAACGTATCGAATTTTGTTCTTTTTAGAGTATTTTTAAGAAATACAGCGTTTTCATTGGATTACAAATAGAGCTGGACACTTTTGTTCTTCTATGGAAATTAACGCACAGAAATACAGCGTTTTCATTGGATGACAAATAAAGTTTTTTTTATAAGAAATTGATTGTTTTTGCTGTGGCGTTTTTGTAAAAAAACGCCAGAATAAAAATGCGCCAGAATACGATAGGAAAGTTTATGAATTGCATGTACTAGTAATTGTTTTGATCAAATTATGACGTTCCTTTCATTTATAATAACAACAAAAAACTGTATGGCTTTGTCGTGCAAATATATCTGACGTCATAGTGGCGCAACGTCACGCTAAATGATAGCGTTTAATATTAACCGCCTGTCAAATAAACAGGACATTTCTTATTTACTAAATTTATTGAGCTTTTTCGCATAACATTATTTTCTAACTCATTCAATGAATTCAATATAGAACCTACACTCATTCATTATTCTCAGTCATGTATTTTTCTTTCAATGAGCGACCACATTGAATAAACACAGGGTCATCTCATTTGAATGTAAGCTAGCCGCAATCACTTTTTGTTTTGTCTATGTTTGACGCGGTTCAAATATTAAGATTACCTTCAATTTGTTAGAAATGACTTTACTAGACCTTTTCTTTTGAGTCGTCCGTACCTTTTTATCATTTCTGCTCTGCTGAATGCGTTTCTTCATTCTGATAAAGGGATAAGACCATGCATAATTGCGAAAATTAAATTGAAGACAACAATACACAATGTTTCCTGAAAGTGGAGGCTTTCCTTTCCTTTTTCATTATTGGCTGACCGGACAAATGGAAATCCACCAAGTAGAAAAATGCGCCGTACGTTATCAATGATATTTTGTGCGCCATACGTTATCATTTCCGGAAAATGCCCCGATATTAATATTACAGCGGTTATTCTTGCCGGAATAGGCATAAATGCTTAGATGACGATATATTATAGTGGTTTTAATACATTTATGTAAAAGAAACAGTGCATTTTGGAGAAGAAGCCGTACGTTACCACGAGCAAACCGGTGGAAAATTCTCTCGCTTCGAATCTGGTGACGCGCATTTCAGATGAAGTACGAGACAAAAAATCATGAAATAAAATCCTGTGTGCCCGGAAAATTGTGAAGAAGGTTATTATGTGTACTTTAAAACTATAACACCACAAATTTCAGAGAAAAAAGGGAAAAACCTCATTTTCGATCGCATCCGCCATCTTGTTTGTTTGGGTAACGAACGGCGTGATTCTCCCCGTGATTTCCTCCACTGTCTAGTATTAAAGTAGCAGATATTTTGGTCACGAGAAAAGTTCAGATTTAGAAATTCTTGGTACTAGACGTACGTTGATTTGTCTGATGAAATCTAAAATTTTAAGTTAAAATTAAGTAACATACAAGTCAAGTATATTTAAATAATAGTGTAATATCTTGTTTAGTTAAATACAGAGCTAAGATGTTTTAATAAAACTGAAATGAGAATTTTGTATAACTATAACAGGTAATTGAGAGAGATTTTACTACACTGTTTATTGAAGTAAATCTGGTAGCTATTGTCACCACAGATTATAAAATAAAATTAATGATACTCGAAACACGGAGAACTTGGGTTTGCTAGTATTAAATGTAATTTTGGAGGCGTAGCGGTACTAAATTATTAAAATGTAATTTGTAAGCTATCTGACATATTTATACAAGATATTTGATGATATAAATTATTCATGATTGTTTAATATTTATTTTTATTGAAAATACAACAAACTAACTTGTCGAAGAAAATTCATAACTGTTAACAACGGTGTTGCCCGATTACTGCCAGATCTTAGGTCACTCATCAAATTATCTAGTTCGAGTGATATCACAGTTCATAACTAGGTGATCTCGTCAAAATTAAAGTTGAATTTAAACAGTGCACTCGGTCCAAATGCCAGCTGTACATCAAAGGACAAGAAAGTTGGCCACTTCATCAAATTATCTAGGTCAACTGATATCAAAATTCATTTTTGCATGTAAAACTGTGCACACGGTCTAAATGTCACTCACAGTCAGCTGTACACCAAAGGACAAGAAAGTAGGTCATATTGTCAAATTCTAGATCAGCTGATATCAAAGTTCAATTTTACATCTGAAACTGTACACATGGTCCTAATTTCATAGCTGTTCGTCAAAGAACAAAACAGTAGTTTAATTTTACATCTAAATCTGTAACAATGAGCCAAATAACAAACCAATAGGAAACACATAAAAGAATTTTAATAATTTGACCTTGATGGACAAAAAAGTGGGTCACTTCATCAAATCATCTATCAGCTGATATCAAAGTTCAACTGTGCACATGATCCAAATGACATACCTATAAGAAAGCATAAGAGATTTTTTTTAATTTGACCTTGATGGTCACGGTTTAAATCAAATACGTACATAAAAAACAAGATTATGACAATTTAACTAAAATTGAATAATTTGACCTTAACGGTCAATCAGTTAAAGATCAAGGTCAGTTCCATGTCCGAGTATAAAGATAATCCATTAAAAAATTACAAAGTCATAATCAGTGAAATTTCAATAATTTAACCTACAAATAAGTCAAGGTCAATTAAAGGTCGCTATACACGAAGGTCTAGTCCTATAGAATATTGCGTATTAAATATGAAGTCATTTATTGATAGCCAGTTACAGGGAGAAAAAAAGAAAAAATCAATATTTTGCCCTTTAAAGTTAATGTCTTTTATGAGTGAAGGTCAAGGTTTGTATGGTTAACTTGAAAGTCTTTTCTGAACGATTGTTGTGTTCAAGGTTGAAGATAATCCATTCATAAATAGCAAAGCTATAGTCACTTATAACAAAAATCAGCTTAAATCAAGCAAAATTTAGACAATTGACATTGAAGGTCATTGTCATTTATGAACGAAAATCAAGTTTAATCTGGTCTACTTGAAGGTCTTGTAGACCAAGTAAGAAAACAATACACCAAGAACTTAAAAAGTTCTGATCAAGGTTAAAGTTTTCAGACAGCAAGGCCGCTGTGACTGTAACAATACCGTGATGTTTTTTTTATTTCTTCGACATTCGAGCTAAAAATGGAAAGCTATTTTAGAAACCTGTCAAAGTTTCCACAGTGACCCTATTTAGAATCTTGTTAGCAAAAACTTTCAAAAGCGAAAGAGATACAAAACTGTCAGTGTCAGTCATCATTTACAATAATTTATAGCGAACATTTCCGTCGTGGGTAATATGTAGAGGAAACAGTTGTTTTAGGACTCAAGGAAATTATTAATATTTTGTTGAAATTCTTTGCTGAATATTTTCTTTTTCATGTCCAAATTCACATCAGGTGGTAGTTTTCTTTGATTACCTCCCTTTAATTGTTCCAGTTCAAAATCAGTTCGTTTTTCAAGTTGATCTAATGCTTGTAGTAAAGCGTTATCTTCCTCTAATTTATTATTTAGTTTTGTGTCATGTTTGTTTTCTATGTACGGACTTATGCTAGCCATTGGTGATTTCATAGAAGAAGGTGAGAAAGACGCTTGTTTCCGGTGGATGGGCAAACTTCCTGACGAGAATGGCGAGTCTGGTGTCGGTCTTCTTAACCCTGTCGCTGCAACATCATCCTGTTTTTCTACAATAGAATCCATATTTACAATTGATTTAGCAACTTGTTTGGCCGGTTCAACAGACCTCGAAACGTTTTCATTTTCATCAACTTCTTCCTCGGATTCATTCTCTGTCTCGTCATTGCCCATGTTTTTCTTTTCAAGTCTTTTCTTATTCGAAACATTCTTTAGATCAAACCGTAGATTTTTCTTTTTCAGTCCATTTTTTGTAGACTGCTTATTTTTCTTCGATTTGCCTTTCATAGGGTTTTTTTTGGAAATGATCTCCTCTACGTCAGTTTCTTCGCTCTCACTGTTGTTTCTTCTAGGTTTAGATTGCCTTTTTTTCTTGCCAATCCTTGCTCTTGATACTGATCTTGAACTGTCGCTTTCATCAGAATCTGAAACTCTTCTTATTTTTTCTTTTTTACCACGCAATTTAGATTTTACATTCTTAACGATAACACTTATATCTGAATCAGAACTACTATGACTTCTCCTCTTTGCCTGCATTACTGGCCCACCACCTTGTACAATAATTATCTTCTTCTTTTTCTTTGATGATTCAGGTAAAGACGTAGGCCAGAAACCAGTATTCCCAAGTATTTGATATTCAATTGAAGGTGATCTATACCTCGGCCTTGAAAATGATTCCATTCGCGATAAACTTCTTACGATTGATTTTGCTCTTTCAAAATCATAATCAAAGCTTCCTCTTTTTGACCGACTACGACCACGGCTCCTATGTCTTCTTATTGGAGAAAAAGAATTTCTCCTGTGCCTGTGTGGCGACGAATTGCTACTGTAAGATGATGATCTGTGACGTTTGCGAGATTTTGATCGACGTGATCGTCTTCGAGACCTAGAACGTGACCGGCTTTTATTCCGTTCTTTCGACCTATTCCGTGATCTTGAACGTGATCTTGAGTGAGATTTGCTTCGTGATCTGTGCCCCGAAACAGAACGCGACCTCAGACGTGGGCCTGAAGTTGTTGCCGCTGCAGCAACAACGGGTGCTACATTTGTCTTAACCGGAGACATCGACTTTTCCGTACTGTGTGCCCTTTGTTTATCTGGATCCTTTTCAGATGTTTGTTTTTCTGGAGTATTTGGGTCAGCTATAGAAGATCTTGGCTTCGATTCGTTTTTTTGAACTGCCTGCAAATGTTCTTGCCGTTGTTGGTTGGCGTCAGAAGCCTTCTTTGATTGCGATTCCATTGTGCACCGCGATTGTGGAGTTGGTGAATCTTCAACATCACCAACCCCTAGATTTGGGTCAAACTCACGCATATCCTTTGGAGGCTGTATGCCTTCATCACTCCGGACAGAAACTCGCGAATCTTTCCTTTCAATTGGAGGTAAGACTGGAGTTTCACGTCGTGATTCAACCTTAATTTTAGATTGAGCCCGACTTTGTCTAGGCGTTTCAACCTTGGTTGCTGGACGCGGTGTGGCAGATTTTATCGGTGGAAGTGGTGGTGTAGATGATTTGCGGTTAGATGGACCTGGTTGTTCAGAAGTAAGTGTTTTTATACTACGATTACTTTCTTGCCTTTTAACCTGAAAATGCATCAAGAAGAGGAATCGTATACATGAATTGAAGTAAATTGTTATAGGCATTCTTAAACAATCTTTTTTTAGGTATCAAGTTCTAGGTACTTACTTCGACAATCTAGTTTTTAGTCTCTGTATGAAAGTGAGATAGTTTTAATTTTTGACACCACTCGTTGAGAAATAATGATAAAGATTCTGACCCTGAAATAAGTAAGGCTTTATTAGGTCAAAGCTCAGTATACACATTTAACCCACGACCTGTTTGTGTTTAGAGTTTAGATATTATGTGTGTGGCATCATCTCATAAAACTTGACAAAAATTATACAAATTATAGCCCTTGGGTCAAAATTGTCCTCGCCTTAGGGGGTCATTGATTTTCCTTACATGTTTATAGTAAAGACTTTTTAAAAATCCTCTTCTTTGTTTTGACAAAGGCTAGAGGTTGCATGAAACATTGTGTAAAGGACATCAACAAAAATTTAACCCTTGTGTCAAAATTGGCCTCGCCCCGCGGATCATTGATTTTACTTATATGTATTTAGTAAAAACTTTAAAAATATTCTTCTCTGAAAGTGCCTAGAGCTTAGATATTTTGTGTGTAGCATCATCTAATGAAACTCTACAAAAATTGTAAAAACTTAAAAATTCTTTTTTTTTCTGAAAATATATTACTAAAAAGCTTTGATATTTGATATCATCTATATGTTCTCTATCAAAGTTGTTTAATGTTTGCGTCTAGACTAGTGCCAGAATTGGCCCCATCACGGGTGCCATAGGTTTCCAAATATGGAACAAACACTCTAGTGACTACTGTTTCAGTCTGATGTCCTGGAAATTGGTCAGAAAATTTAATGATTTTTAAGGCAGTTTCGAATATGGGATATCTTGGGTCGAAAACTAGGTCACACAGCCCGTATATGGAAAAACCTTGCTAACACTACTGTTTTGGTCCAAATATCCTGGAAATCGGTCAGGAAGGTTGTTTAGATAATTTCTAGGTCATGTTCGAATATGTGTCATCTGGGGTCAAAATTTCGTCACACAACCCAAATTATAGAAAAAAATATTATTTATATTCTACAAAATTATATTTTCATCCCAAATATCCTGAAACTACAGTTGAGTTCACACAAAGTGCACTTGGAGTGCACAAGATGTGGACTTTGAAATGCACTTCATAAGTGCACTAGACCTATTATAATTATGTATTAAGCTACCTTTTATTTCAATAAATAACAATTAGACTTTTACAAAAAATAGAAAGCTGTATTATAAATTTGAAGTTTTGATTTTGTAGAATATTGTGCCAAATATAAGAACAATTATTCTTTAAATTCACCAATTTTACTGATTTGGTACTTTAATACTTAATTGTTATTAGTTAATATAAATAATTATAACTTTAATGTTGATAAGTGCATAAATAAACAAAATTAATTGATATTTGATATGATTCTACCTGGTAATGAAATATAAAACTTTGAAATGCTCATTGGACAAAATTCAGTCATTTTATGGGTTTAAGGTAATGATTTTAAAGCACGGTGGACTAAATTAATGCGACATTAGAATTTAATGAACATTCGGATCAGCACCGTTAACATTTAGCATAATGACACAACAAACTCAGTCGCAGAAAAACGGTGCGCAGGAATACGAAAATAAATCGACTAAAATTATATGAGATAGCGAAAAATCTGAAATGTTCAGCACACATCTTATGAATAATCATGAATATATTGAAAAATTAACCAATGATGCATTAAACGGCCCGATTGACCATACGGTAAACAACTTTACTCAGTTTTATATTTAACCATATTTAGGAAAACTTGCAAAATAAATAAACATGAATCGAATAAAAAAAAGTGAGCAGTAAATGTTTTAATGTTAATTCTTACAATGCTAAACGAGAATTCAAAGCAACTCGAAATCATTTTAATTTTATACACTCCCGAATAAAGCGAAAAGCAAAAAAAAAAATTTGGCAAAAAACGAACCACGTAAATTTTTGAAAAAATATCAAAACACCTTTAAAGAGTACACATGCAAAGGCTGAAACGTTAACAGTTAATGAATAAAATGACCATTTTTAGCTCACCTGTCACAATGTGATCGCTTTTCGTCCGGCGTCCGTCCGGCGTCCGTCCGTCCGTCGTCCGTCCGTAAACTTTTACTTTAAATGACATCTCCTCATAAACCACTAAGCCAATTTCATCCAAACTTCACAGGAATGTTCCTTTGATGGTCACCTTTAAATTTTTTTTTGTTCAAATAATTTAATTCCATGCAGAACTCTGGTTGCCATGGCAACCGAAAGAAAAAACTTAAAATATCTTCTCTTAAAAAACCCCAAGAGCTAAAGCTTAGATATTTGGCATGAAACATCTTCTAATGGATGTCTACCAAGTTTGTTCAAATGAAAGCCCTGGGGTCAAAATTGGCCCCGCCCCAGGGGGTCTTTGATTTTCCCTATGCATATAGTAAAACTTAAAATATCTTCTTTTAAAGAACCCAAAGAGCTAGAGCTAAGATATTTAGCATGAAACATCTTCTAATGAATGTCTACCAAGTTTGTTCAAATAAAAGCCCTGGGGTCAAAATTGGCCCCGCCCCAGGGGGTCTTTGATTTTCCCTAAATGGATATAGTAAAAACTTAAAATTCTTCTTTTAAAGAACCCAAAGAGCTAGAGCTAAGATATTTACCATGAAACATCTTCTAGTGAGTGTTTACAAAGTTTGTTCAAATAAAAGCCCAGGGGTCAAAATCGGCCCCGCCCCAGGGGGTCTTTGATTTTCCCTATATGCATATAGTAAAAACTTAAAATCTTCTTTTAAAGAACCCAATGAGCTAGAGCTAAGATATTTAGCATGAAACATCTTCTAATGAGTGTCTACCAACTTTATTCAAATAAAAGCCCTGGGGTCAAGATTGGCCCCGCCCCAGGGGGTCATTGGTTTTCCCTATATGTATATAGTAAAAACTTAAACAATCTTCTTTGAAAAAACCCAAATAGCTAGAGTTTAGATATTAAGCATGAAACATCTTCTAGTGAGTGTCTACCAAGTTTGTTCAAATAAAAGCCCTTGGGTCAAAATTGGCCCCGCCCCAGGGGGTCTTTGATTTTCCCTATATGCATATAGTAAAAACTTAAAAATCTTCTTTGAAAAAACCCAAATAGCTAGAGTTTAGATATTAAGCATGAAACATCTTCTAATGAGTGTCTACAAAGTTTGTTCAAATAAAAGCCCTGGGGTCAAAATTGGCCCCGCCCCAGGGGGTCATTGATTTTCCCTATATGCATATAGTAAAAACTTAAAAATTCTTCTTTTAAAGAACTCAAAGAGCTAGAGCTAAGATATTTAGCATGAAACATGTTCTAATTGGTGTCTACCAAGTTTGTTCAAATAAAAGCCCTGGGGTCAATATTGGCCCCGCCCCGGGGGTCATTGATTTTCCTTATATGTATATAGCAAAAACTTAAAAAATCTTCTTTGAAAAAAACCAAATAGCTGGAGTTTAGATATTAAGCATGAAACATCTTCTAGTGAGTGTCTACAAAATTTGTTCAAATAAAAGCCCTGGAGTCAAAATTGGCCCCGCCCCGGGTGTTATTGATTTTCCTTATATTTGTATAGCAAAAACTTAAAAATCTTCTTTGAAAAAAACCAAATAGCTAGAGTTAAGATATTAAGCATGAAACATCTTCTAGTAATTGTCTACAAAGATGGTCAAATAAAAGCCCTGGAGTCAAAATTGGCCCCGCCCCAGGGGTGTCATTGGTTTTAACTATATGTGTATAGTAAAAACTTAAAAAATCTTCTTTTAAAAAAACCCAATGAGCTAGAGCTTAGATGTTTAGCATGAAACATCTTCTTATTGGTGTCTACCAAGTTTGTTCAAATAAAAGCCCTTGGATTAAAATTGGCCCTGCCAAGGGGGGGGGGGGCGGAAGGAGGGGGGGGTAGATTGTTGTTTTTCATTATATGTGTGTAGTAAAAACTTAACATCGTGAAACATCTTCTAATGGGTGTCTTCCAAGTTTGTTCAAATAAAAGTCCTGGGGTTTAAACTGGCCCCGCTCCGGGGGCCTTTATACAGGTGAGCGACCTCAGGGCCATCATGGCCCTCTTGTAAAGTTTATTTGGGGAGTCATTATTGAATAATCAACTGGACCCGGACTTTTCCCAAGATATAATGATATGAATTTCAGAAACAGGACTCCGCGCAGCAACCTTTTCTTTTCTCAGAATGATAATTAAATGCCAGGTATCAATAATTTAACAAGCGAAATCTTTAAATCGACATATGTAATTATCTCGCCAGTATTACTTAATTTATATATTGACGCAAAGAACTATCGTGGATTTACTTTAATTAATGTTAAAGCAAAAATTTACCCACAATTATTACTTAACCGTTTAACGAAATGGACCGAAAAAAGTTCGGATTTCAAAAAGGAAAATCGATAATTGATTGCATATTTATCCTATATTCTATAGTAGCTAAAGTTTTAAATTCTGGTGAAAAACTGTATTGATAATGTTAGTTGTAAATTTGTTACGGCCATTAAGTCAGTGTATAAAACAGTAAAGTCTTGTGTAAGGTATAAGTCAGATACATATGTGGGCTTGAAGCAATTATTAAGGTGACCCCAGCTCACCTCTGCTCTTCATGCTCTTTGTGAACGACATTTTAGATAATATAATTACTGATCCTAATGGCATTTTTACTTTAATTGAACTAAAACTGTTCATTCCTATGTATGCAGATGATCAGGCAATTTTTGCTAAATCGCCTGAAACTTTACAGTCTATGTTAACTGATGCGGACAATTATTGTAATTTATGGGGTTTAAAAATTAACATTTCAAAAACAAAAGTGATGATTTTTGAAAATGGGAGGCACACCATGTATAACTTCAAAATTTATAATAATATTATAGAAACAGTAACCTCTTTTAAATACCTAGGTATTACATTATTCAAAAATGGTAATTGGTACCGTACGCAAAAATGCATCGCCCAACATGCATCATTTGCTATGAATAATCTATTTCGTATTTTAATGATGTAGAACAACCAATGGATCAAAAGTGTAAATTATTCGATACACTAGCTGTCGTCGATTCTTAATTTTTGATCCGGAATATGGGGTATACATGAAGTTATAAGGATATTGAGGCTATTCACGCTAAGTTTTTAAGACGCATTTTGGGTGTTAAAAGGTCAATAAATTTATCTACTTTTTATGGACAATTAGGAAGAATTCCTTTGTTATTTATTCTAAAAATAAATATGATTAGGTACTTGATAAAAATTTCAAAGCAAAATGATATAGTGCTCTTGTTAAAAAGAAGTTATTTAATTTTAAAAGTAGATGCAGATCGGAATTTAAAATGTTATGGAAAAAATGGGCGTTTCAGATAAAAATAGTCTACAAGAACATGGTTTATTGTATGTATGGAATGATCAATTTGAAATCGAAATATCTTTTTCCTTGATGAAACAGATAAATATTGATAACTGTTAACAAAAATGGTACTCTGATATCAATAATTCTAATCGTTTACAGTCATATTGTGCCTTTAAGTTTGAATTCGAATTAGAAGAATATCTGAAAGTAATTACTGATATTAAGAAATATAGAATTGCTATGTCGAGATTTAGAACTTCATCACATAATTTTTTTTATAGAATCTGGAATATATAACGATACCCCACGAGAACAGAAACTCTGTAAATCATGCAGTATGGAAACCATTGAAAAAGAATACCAGCTAGTATGTCCATTTCACCATGACTTAAGAAGTAATTTTTTTAAAACAATATTATTGTCGCTGGCCAAATATCACTAAAGTCGAAAAATTTATGTCATCAAAATCTAAATCTGTTCTACTGAAATTTGCAAAACATATTTATGTTGCAATGAAAACCCGCATCTCATAATACACTCTCTAAGTTTAAATATCTTTTTTGCAAATTTAATAACTAGAACTTTTTTCTTTACATGTAACAATATATTAAGTATATCTAGACCGTTTGTAAGAATTGTTTATGTAATTTGAACTACTCTCTTCGGATAAAATTTCATTTCTTTTGTCATATCTGTCGCTGAACATCTCTGTTTGTATTGGCTCTAAACATATGTTTATGTTTGATGCTGAATACAATTTTGTATTGTATTGTATTTAAGCGTAAAAGTCTTTAATACATTAATGAATTAATAAGTTTATAATTTAATTAAATAATTTAATTTAATGCATTGTAACATAAATTGCAACATGGATATTTTTATCAGTTTATAATAAAATAATGCAAAAATAATTTAGTTTTCTTTTTGTTCTACTTGCAATGAAATTAATTGCACCAACATCCAGGGAATACGGAATTTACATTACCTACTTATAATCTGCCTTATGTTATTTACCCTGAGGCTCTCTTATCAGCAGGGTACTATATAAAACACCATGACGAAGCATGAATGACTTTTGACACTTTAGTCCTGCCAGGGTCTTTCAAGACCCTGGTCCTGCTTCCCAGTTCAGAAATTTAAAGATGCTGTAAATTTTAATGCAGAATGGCAAGAAATGTGGATTAATATTGATATGAAGTCTTTCTAAAATATTTAACAATGATATGGATTTTAAACAAGTTTTAAACAAAACAAAAAATAGATAGAAAATTCCGCTTTAGAGACAATAATATTTAATATGCATTTATACCGTTATGATTTTTTTATTTGATTATACAAAAATATTATTTATTTTAATTTAATGTCATTTATCTATGTCCAACATGTATTTTGAAAACCCAGGGAATTTCAAAAAAAATGTTGGATACTTAAAATCTGCATCTGAGGCCCTCTTATCAGCAGGAGACCGGTATAATGAAAACAATCGCTCTCAGAAAAATACCAATACACAGCATGACTTGAGACTTTCCTCTTCTAAAAAGTATTCCCTTTATACATTTAATTTTTAATATTGAATTCGTGAATAAAGTTATGGATAATGTTTTAAATATCTATATCTTTAAAAACAATATGAAAGCATTTCACATTGAATATAAATTATCACCGTATGGATTGTTTTAGAATCAATGTATTTATTCTTTTTCAATATTGAACATGAGGACTTGCCTCTAAGTTAAATATTATAAAAATAATATTTTAACTTAAATATACACCTTTCTTTGATTTGTTTGAGCTTAATAAGTTTAAGTTTATGTTGTTACAAACTAAATTTATTGGGCCAGTATTATCACATTGATTTACCCATTTGTACACTAGAAAGATAAAAATACATGGTAATGTTTTATAATAAAAAATAGCTTGAAAACACTGCATTTAATTATCCATTACAGGGAGAACATATTTAAATCTAACCTTATTAATTCTATAAATTTGACTTTTAATGGGTTTTATTTTTATACTTACAGTTATACTGGTTAATAAAAATATGATTACAATAAATAGAAAAAATATTTTAAATTTTATTATGTCACCTAAAATGTTAAAACTGCTGATTTAAAATTTACTTATTTATTTTCACGAATACGCCATATATCCCCAAAGTTTTTTTTTCTTACAACAACTAAACAATGGATTACCCCTGCCACTGTTATGCAATTATCCAATAAACCATTTAGGTGTCACTTTCCACGGCTGGTCATATGGTCTAGTGCACTAGAAGTGCACACGGGTACGTGGGAAGTTTAGTGTTAACTCAACTGTATGTCAGAAAGGTTGTTTTGATGATTTCAAGCAGGTCATCAATGGTCAAAATCTAGTTCACACAGAGCAAAAATGGAAAAAACTTTGTTATCACTTTGGTAACATTTTAGCCCAAATATCCTGGAAATTGGTCAGAAAGGTTGTTTGTATGATTTCCAAATGAAGTTTGAATATGAGTCATCTGAAGTCAAAAAAGGTCACAACACATAACAAGAGCCATCGCCGGGCGGGGGCAACGCTTGACTTTTTACTTTTTCTAAAAGCAAACAAAGAAACATTTGAACAAATATAAACGTTTCCTTTTTATAACTTTAAAAGGTATCTCTATTCATACACACAGACCAACCGCTCGCTATTCCCCCATATATATGATTTACATGAAGGTCTTGTCCTTAAGAATGTTATGTTCTAATATGAAGTCAATCTATTCAATAATAGCAAAGTAACGGCCAATTACAGCCAAAAAAAAATAAGAATTTCAATAATTTGACCTTCAAAGTCAAGGTCATTTATGAGTGAAGGTCAAGGTCTGTCTGATTAATTTAAAGGGCTGTCCTTGAAGATTATTATTTTCAAGTTTGAAGACAATCCATTCAAAAATAACAAAGTTATAGCCAAAAATAGAAAAAAACAAGCAAAATTTGGACATTTGATCACGGTCATTTATGGATGAAGGTCAAGGTTAATCTGGTATACTGAAAGGTCTTGTCCCAAGGGTTGTTGTGGCCAAGTATGAAGACAATACACTAAGAACTTAAAAAGTTATGATCCAGGTACAAGTTTGCGGACGGCTACGGCAACGGTAACGCCGCCAGGACTATAACAATACCTCTACTTTTTTTTTCAAAAAAAAAAAAAAAAAAAAAAAAAAAAAAGAAAGTCGAGCTGAAAAGGCCCTTTTGAACATTTGCACTTTTCAGGTGCAGATATGAATGTTATCATATCAGTTAAATTTTAAGGCATTATTTTTGCCTTTTATTCATTGCTAACAATATTAATAATTCAGAGCCTCAATAATCAGGTGAGCGTTATAAGGATCGTTGTTTTTGTTTTTTAGGGGAAGTTGGGAGGGGGGGATAGCGAGCGGTCGGTCTCTTTACCCCCAAGACACTCCAAGACTACTGCAAGACACCCCTAGACTACTCAAGACATCCCAAGACACATTTACTGACATACTGACATGTAACTACGGTCTTAATTTTACATTGTTTATGGGAGGTAATTTTGCGATCATTGAATTATCTCCCTTCATTATCTCACTGTATTTTTTAATGTATATTCTTCTTTGTGCAAAATAGTTTACAACAATGAAATAATGACAAGGTTGCGGGGTTTTGGTGTAGTGCAAGTTTAATTCTGCGGTAATGTCATTTTATGAGTGACACATTTTTGATGCCTGATTATTATTAAATCGATATCATATTCTGTTTCATAATATTGATTTTTTTTTATTTCATCTGCATCACATTTAATTAGATTAACATAGTCTTATTGTTTCAATAAAGTTGATTTTAATCAAAATATTTTTCCTATAAAGAGCATATCAATAGATATTTTAGTGATGAAAATAGTCCAATATTTGATGTATTGGACAGTAACAAGATGATTCGTAAATAATCAGTCGTCGTATATAATAAAATTTTCCCAATTTACACCATATATTAGTGTCTTGGGGTAGTCCTGGGACTAAAAAAGTTTATAATTCTGGCCCAGATTAGTCTTGGGGCGTCTTGGGGTAAATAAACCGACCCGTTAGCGTTCTCCTCTTCCAAGTTGCGATGCGCGACTGAAATTTGATTTGCCTCAAATTGTGTCAGACAGGTTGTCACAAAAATATTTGATTTATTTTTTTTTTTTTTTCTGATTTTCAAAATCGGGTATAAATATATATTTTACATGTATATTCGTATGCTGGACTAAGCTTCGGCATAGTCCGATTTATTGATCAAAATAATCTAGGTCTGTTACGAAAAAGGTTCTTAACGTTATGAAATCCGTTTGAAATAAAATGATTAATTACCGGAGACCGATTGTTTCTAGTTGGCTCTGGTGTTGGTGTTCTGCGTTCATCATTATGGTTCGTGAATTCTGATATGTCAACACTACCTGATGGAGAATTTTTTCGGCTGTTCTCAGTAAGTTGAGGGCCCTGAAAAACAAAAATATTTCATAAAGGATTACATATCCTAATGGGCACCAACAGGAATCAGCTCTCATCACTTTAATTCTTTTCTAGATGGTAAAAGGAATTTATTTTCCAATATAAGTAAATTTCAACATCCAATTTTCTATTACATATATTTATGCTTAGTGCCATACAGCCTCTGTATTTTTTTCCAAATTTAATCGCCATGGCATATTAATCTTTTTTTTATTTATGTTTTTGTTTTCATTTTTGACTTACACAATTATCAAAGTGACATAACGTAGCAAGTGATAAGTGCATTTTTTTTTATCTCAAATAAATGCATGTGCGTAAAAAATATTTCTTTTCTAATAACTAAAACCAGTGTATATTTACATGACCTCAACAAAGACTTAACTCAAAAAACATCTTTAGATATTTATAAAAATAAGTTGTAAAAATATGTAAGACATCTTAAGCCGAACCCTTAACTTTCAATATATTAATCAAGAAGAAAGTCGGAAGCAAACCAAATGTTTCTTCATTTAGAATTACCATCCTTAAGACGGCAAGTTACATATTCACGTAATACTGATATTTTCAATCACATAACAACTGTCTATTTTCAACCGCATGGTCAGCACTGAATCTATTTATGCGTTAAAAGTTACTTTTTATTGAATTTTATTGATACTCATCTGTCTTTGATGTTTTATGTAATGTTACTGAAATGTCAAAAAAGTTCGATGGACTAAATTATTGTGTGATTAACGACTGCGGCGGTCTAAAAACCAACTTTAAAAGAACTTGCTGATAAAAACAATATAGATTTTGTTCAGTCAATATTCTAAATAACACAGCAAGCGTTTATTATATCTTACAGGGAAGAATTTCGATAGCGAAAAAATTATTGGTAAACATACCGTTTCATGAAACCTGGGCAAAATAGGAAATCATTAACTGTCCTGTGGGACTTTCGCATGACGTCAATAAATACAGCTTAAAGATGAAAGAAATAATTGATAAATGAAGCATTTATAGCAAGATCAATCAAAACAAATTCCGTTGCCACAGGATACGTGACGCTCTCTCATAAAATTCCACCGATGCGAAGAGAGTGACATAGTTAATATTTTCAGCTCGCAAACAAGCCATTCTTTGTGAATTATAAATCTTAATTATTGATTTGGTTTAAATTTGCTTGTTTGACAGCCATTTGTAATTATCGCATGGTTTCGAACGTTTTATTTGTTCTTATTAATCCATTATATAATACTCAGTACACTTTCAATGAGCATTTGAAAACTGTATACAGTTTTTTCATTAATTCATATAGAAGTTGAGGTTTTTTTTCGCACCTGGTATATACCAATGGGCAGGCGTAACGAACACCCCCCCCCCCCAAAAAAAAAAAAAAAAAAAAAGAAATAATGGAATCAATAAAATAAAATAGAATAAAATAAATAAATAAATTGAAAAATATAAACAAAGATAATTAATGAAATGAAATTTACTCTCGTATAATCAAAAGCTACATGCGCTGAATGAATTATTTCCGCTGAAATAATCAACATTACTTTCTCTCCGTCTCTAACATTGGATGTCTTCCAAGGGTTGTATATCTTGTTTGTTTGTTTGTTTCTGGTTGGTTTGTTGTTTTGTTGTTTGTTTGTTTTTTTGCGGTAGCGAAAACAGTTTGAAAAAAACTACCTTATCATAAATAGCTGTAAGGTTGCTTACGATTTCTTTATTATTTAATTTATTTATTTATTTCCCTGATTTCTGTAACAAAAAAAAAACAACAACAAGAAACATTATGACATTGCGATAAAACAGTTATAGTATATAATAACATTGGCTGGGCGACATCTCGGGATGTTTCTGCAAAAAATTGTCTCGGCCTAATGGCCTCGCATTTTTTTTAGCAGAAACATCACTTGATATCGCCCCATTTAGTGTTATATCCTCGTATATACTATAACTATTACCTAAATCAGTCTGAAGTGAAAGTTGCTCTCCCTCGTATCATACCATATTTCGTCATGGTATATATTATGTTTCACACATTAACATTTATTTTGTTATATCATAATATCTGACTATTTTATATTGTTTGATTGCTTGACTTAAGACCACAACCTTTTTGGGTATTAGTTGGTGAACATTCGTGTTCTAACGTGAATTTATCACACACCCGTGCCGATTTTGCGACTCCGTAAATATGGTATTGCACGGCCGTGCATATATTTTGACGTGACGTCATTAGCGTTATACAAACATAGTGTAAAGAGCGCTAAATGTTAGCGTTGTACTATAGGCGCGTCAATGAAAAATGACTCTTATTTCACTTTAAACAGTCTTTATTTTGGGTATGTGATAAATAGAATATTAAATTCGTGTAAGTTCATTACTGAATTTATTGCACTCGTTGAATAAAATAATATTATGCTCGCCAGAGGCTCGCATAATAAATTTTATTCAACTCGTGCAATAAATTCAGTATTGAACTTACACTCATTCAATATCCTCTATATATTTAAGCGCATATAATAAATGAGAAAGAAAAAAAGAGGATATGCAGCGTGAAATTTTGTTAACTTTCGTACATTGTGCATTGCTTGGTATCATTATTATTTTGTACCACAAAATAAAACAAAATATGAAACTATGTAGTAATGAAAGTACAAAATGCTAATAACTATAACGTTCGTCAATTGATGTGCATTTGTAACGTCACTATTCGAGTAATAAAGAATAAGTAAAATGCGAAACATTCGATGCGAATATACGAGGGGTTATCCAAAAATTCGTGGACTTTCTTTGTTGCGTAAAATGTATTTGAGATATTGATTTGAAATTCTTACACTGCTTAGAAGAATAAATTACAAATAACCACAGAAAAATTGATGTTAGTAGTTTCTTATATAAGTCGAAAAATTTTGTTAATATTACATACAGTATCATTACTTTCTCTTACCTTTCGTCGGTTAAGTAGTATTCGCTCTGCCAAAGTTAAATTTTCGGGATTTGGTTTGTTTTTCGACAACTTTGTATTGATAACTCTCTTGGCATTAACTAGATCTGTCCCAAACATTTCGGCCAGTACTTGGTTTATAGAACAAACATGTGCTGAAAATACCATAATAATAACAATTACATGTACACTATTATAATAGTGGAGGTAAATCAAGATCAAAGAATAATCAAATAATTAAGTAAATAAGTGAAAATTGCAGTCTGTTTATGGAAAGTACATCTCTCATACCCGTAACACCGGCTTGACTTTGATTAATCTTCACCAACATAAGTATTAGAAATAATGATCTTGATTTACAACATTACTCTTGCTATTTTTGATTATGTTCACAACAATAGCATACCAAAAAAAAAAAGCCATAATTTGACGTCATTTATTTTAAATAATACAGTAGTTAACCGATCTTCAATTTATGTCCCTGAATTATACACAGAATTTAACTTGTTAAATAACAAAAAGAAGTTATAAATTCTCACCTGTCTTTGAATATGCATAAATAATATTTTAAAAGAATATATCGAAAGGAAATTTCGAACTTGTCTTATCACATCGTCCATTAATCTCACAAAGAGATTTTTTTCTTTCTCCTTTAATTATTGAACTTTATCTGTATTACCATATTAAAAAGTTCTATTATATCCATTCTGAAAACCAAAATATACAAAAGTCTTGATAAACACCTAAATCAATACATATGCAGGCAATTTGAAAATTCAAACAGTGGTCCATAAATTTCTGTATTGATTAAGCAGAGCGCTTATGAATAAGGCATGGTGGCATTGGATACCTATGTTCACAACATATTTATAAATCGATATTGTCCTACGAGATAACGACAGCGTTATTGAGAGTTACAGAAGAAAGCAAAGAAACTGCCGTCTTGCTAATATTTCAAAATCCCCCATCAAAAACATAATATAGTTGAAAGAAATCGAAATGACACTTCAAAATGTTCATATTTTAACATTATTGCTCTGAAAACAAACAGTTCGTTTTTCCACAAACGGGAAATAACTTCTTTTTATTATACCACGGAATTCTTTCATCTAGTATCACATGATCGTACAGGACAATATCGCGACCTGTGCTCCGGAACGCACGGAATCCGGGACTTTATCAAACATATAGGGATACGAATAACTGCTTTTGTTTTTATATTTGTAGTTTTTGTATTTTCCATACAAGTTCGATATTTGTAGAGCAATATATTTTGTGTCCCAATCTGATATAATTCAGATTTTCTACTTTCAATCATTTAAATACAGAATGAAATTTATGCCTAAAATCTCTGGTCAAACTTGTAAATTAGTGCCCTTATCGATTTATTCCAAGAAATGATATATAAATAGAAAAAGAAACTGTCAACGAAATATTTCTAAAATAAAACCATGCAAATAAACTTCAAGCATAATACATTATACATGTGAGAATGCTATTTAGAATTGCTTCGTGTTATATCATAGTGGGCATATAGACAATAAAATATAAGTCATTTGTATTTTTATTTATCTTGGATATGTCTCATTAAAAATATTTTTGGTTAAAATCATCAGCAATTAATAGTGTATTTTTTAGATTTTTAGAGGCCAGAGCACATCGTTTTTAATTTAATTTAAATGTCACTTAAGCACTTCAGTGTTTACCCAGCCAACATTCTATATCGGCCCGACATCAAACCGACATGGTTTTCTATGACGGCCCGATGTCGGCTTTAACCTCGGCTGCAAATAGGAATGATGTTGGCCCGACATCGGCAATACAATATCGGGCCGATATCTTAACGATATAGGCCCGATATTTCTTGCCGACATCGGGCCTACATCAAAACAATAGCGGTGCGATGTCAGCCAACAGTAGAAAGATATCGGTCCTATATCGACCAGGTATCATTCTTATGCTAGCATGTCGATGACATCTAACAGCAGGCATTTGGCATAACCTGCAAAAACACAAAAAAAGGATAATTATTTTACAAATAAGATAACAAAGACATATATTTTAAAAAACATAATTTTACATCTAAAAAGAGACAAACAGATAAATTGTATTTTTCCAAAAACTTTAGGTGTAAAAATCAAATTATTTACAGCGTTAACAGATTTGTTGAATCTTCATTACATTAAAAAAACATGCTTTCATCACCTTCCTTTCTTAGCTTTTCTTTTTGGCGCTTAATCTGTTTATTGTAGGACTGCAGTGAATATTTTCAAGCTTTTCATTTAAAATTTAATAAAAGTGTGGTGTTTATGTAGTCAAAACATAAATATTGAATTTAATTACAAACCACATATCATTTCCAAACTCAACTATGATTATTTTAGAAATTCATATCAAAATGTACAATTATTTGCTGCATGATTTTCAATTCAACAGAAAACGCAATATCTTACCGATGTCAATCCGATATACAAAATAGTTGCATTGATAGGTCATGTAGGCCCGACGCAGACCCGATATATCTTTTTTGATGTAACACGAAATGTGGTTAATGTGGTTCTATAGTAATTGAAATTATATACAGGACAATTTATTCACATTATTAAGTAAACAATGCCATTGCAATTAGAGTTTTTCAAAATACTCAGTATGTCGGCACTGCAGCGGCCCGACGTCGGCCAATAGTCGGCATATTTTGCCGACATGCCGACATTAATCCTATATCGGCCCGATATGGTCATGCTGGCTGGGTAGTTGTCCTTTTCAATTTCACACTAAATTCCATTTTCAACTTGTTTGCTTCTTACAGTTGTTTAGAATTTCTAAAAGTATTGCATGTAATCCACTGGTTTATTACATCCCTAATCGCCTGTCCGAAAATCAGCACAGGTGAAGCAGAATCTATTTTTAGAATAGCGAAGGTTAACTCATATCGTGACCTAGAAAAGTATGTAAACAAACCACAAGAATCGGAAGTAGAACTGATATTATAACTTCCTTCAATAAAGATTACCATGAAAGACTACATGGTGGTAAAGTGTTGAAAAACTCTCTTGTTACATGCATTTTCAAAAATATATATTTATACTATCTAATTTATTAATAACTGCTAAACCCGCGGTATGAGTCACGGAAATAGTTCTTCTTTTATGAATGCGCGAAATATTCTAGAGTCACGAACAACTTTTGATTTGTTAATAATAATGTTTTGTATAATGTAGAAATTTTTATTTTTTTACTAATAATTTCTTGGAACTCAGAGCTTACACTTTTATTATAGTATAATTTGCTGTCCTACTTTTTCGACAGCGGTAAATCGTTTCGGCAGTAATTTGCATATTGCGCAATAACACTACGTGAATACAACGTTTTTATCAATCATATACGTTCATATTTTAACTTGGATAACTTAATTTGAAATTGAAAAGGCTAAATATGGAAGATTTTAAGATATCCCGACAAAGTATGGGATTTTTAAAGGATCAAATTCAAGTACTATTTCTTGGGCTGTTAATCGGTTGAGGACACTTTGCGCGATTGTAGCCGACGAAATCCCATGTGTAGATGACTTAGCTCTGAACGCGCATGAGGGCGCGTCCGTCGCAAAAATGATTTTTTGATACAACTCTAGTCATGCAAAATTCCATATGTATCAATCTCAAACTGTTATAGAAAAAAATCTAAACGCAGTAAGATGAATTATAGTATATAAAAAATAAACTTATACAGGAAAATACATACAGATAGTCAGTATGATTTAGATTGCAAAGATCAGAAAATACCACAGAGCGTGCAGCCCTTTGATTTTATTTGTAGTAATTCATGGCACTAAAAATTACAATTGATTAATTATTTCATATATATGATGACCAATTTATCGATTTAACCTTTAGCTTGAAATGTCGGCCTAGTGAATTTTCGTATTCTTTGTTCTATAGTAAATATGTCACATTTGAGCAGGATCTTTCAAATAGAATTTCTATTTGAAAGACCCTGACTTGAGGCATAATTCCCAATTCCACTGTTCCTGATGAATTATATACTGTCTTCAACTTTAAACATCAACACTAGCTAAGTCAAATGAGGCCCAAAATATAACATGTTAGCCATCTACTTTTTTCAGAAATATTCATTCTGTTGTGACACTGTTTAAATTTACCACTTTGAAACTGGTGGGTAGTATATTTTTAATCCTTCCGCCAACAAATGAGTTCCTGGAGAATACACAAAAACAACTTTTAAAGTCATCCTATAACACAAAAAAACTACACACATGCAATTAATACACTTTAATTATGACTAATCAAACTAGAGATAACTTAAACTGGGCCTCTTCAAAAATTAAAAGAACTACTTTCTAGACTACAACGGGTTGGGTCTAATTCCGTACCGGGGTGAGACCTTAATGACGAAAATTGATAACCGATCCCTGGCATACCGGATACCGGGATTTTTCCGGATCACTGTTGTGACACGTGACCGTGTTAAATGAATTATCAATTATCTTCTCCTATTTATATTGGCTACTGCGTTAGTAAAGTAGTAGATTATGGAAAAGAAAACCCGATATATTAACGTTTTTGTCAACATTCTTTCTTGAATTAAGGTTTCAGTAATGATGGATTTATACAATAAACCTAACTAGATCAGTATTTACCATTTACTTGAAATTTATTTCATTTTTTTTTCATTTTACCATCCGGAGGTCAGTGGCTAAACACATACATAATATGATAAGTTCACATCTTTCAGAAGTTTACATTCGTGCCTAAAATATATTCGTATTGGGCTCGATTGCATTTATTGCTTGTATTCTATATCTGAGGTCTCAAATTTAATCAGTAACATATTTTCTACAAATGAAAGGGGGAAATAGTGGAACGTGAAATAAGGTATTGTCTGTCAATATAATGCAAAGGGTGCAACTTTCAGGACATAATCTGTAGACTATTTTGGCTCAAATGTGAAGTGGTCCCCAAAATATCTCCATTTTCAAAAATGGCCCCATACAAATTTGACATACATTAATTAGTATTTCATTGTAAAAACTATGCTATTTGTTAAAGTATGCATTCAATGTCAGAAATAATGCTTAAAGCATGAACATAATAGTGAAATTAAGAAAATAGAAATTCCTTTCCTTTTTTATTTCAAAATCGCGTCCGATTTCATGATTTCCGGTCTTAAAAAGAGATGTGTAAGTCTACATTTCTACTTTATGCTTTGGTGTATTTTGCTCTTGTTTTTTTGCACACAATAATTGCATTTGAGATTATTCTACTTTCAAAATATTTTATAATATACATGTATTTTGAATCGAGTTACAAACTGGTGAACGAAAATGGAGTTAAGCAGATATTGTTTTTCTCGTTCCAAGGCGTATGTAAAATCTATGAATAATTTATGAATATATATCATATTTAAATTGTATGGCTTTCTAAAATTACAAGCGTTTTTATATAGCGATATTTGCAAACTGAAAAGCTAGAAAAAGTTACATCCTTTTATGAACAAAATTTACTCGCAGTTCAGGTCATATGCAACAATACTTAAATTATTGATGTATAAATATTTTTATCCTAGGTTAAGGTAATCGAAAATTTACTGTATTGAATATCATTGAATATGATATGCAAGATTTTTTTGTGCGTCAGTAATTATCGCCATTCCTGGCAAACAAGATTTGAACAGTTCTATTTGTACACCGCCTGCATAATTATACTTTCGTATGCACTGTCCATTAGACAGGGGCCAGATATCAAATTTTCAAAACAATATGCTTTCACTGATGCCAACATGTTAAGGAAAGTAATTCCACGAATACAAACAAAACTT